AGCCCGATGCGGGGCTCAATCCCAGGACCCTGGGATCATGACCTGAGCCGAAGGCAGACGCTTAACCGACTGAGCCACCCAGGCACCCCTGAAATCTTACATTTTATATTCTCCATTTACTTTAAGGGTGACCTTTTCCAGAGTAAAAAAATAAACAAAGTGAAAACTTTCATTCTATAACACTTTTAAAATAAATATCTGCATATAAATAATTTGGCATATTTCTGTTAGTGTTTTAATTTTGAAGGAGCACAGAGATAAAACTTGAAGGATTACCACAGCAAATAAAGAGGCACCGAGTAATAGTTTTTAAAGAAAGTATGGTTACTCTGTATTATGTCAATCTTAAAAGACTGAGGATGCATGTTAGTCAACCTCAAAGTCCTCAAACAGATCCTCTGTTGCTTAATGCTTTTGCAAAATGGGTGATATAAATTGTCTGAATTAAAATGCCAGATTATTTCAACAGAACCTAAAATTTGATAAAACTATGTTCAGTTTCTTTTCATAACAGGAACCAAAAGTAGGGCTGCAAATATTTTTTTAATTGAAAATTAATGACTACTAAGTTTTGTAACTTGAAAATCATGAGATTAAAAAAATGCACAATGAGGGGGAGACGAACCATGAGAGACTATGGACTCTGAAAAACAAACCGAGGGTTCTAAAGGGGAGGGGGTGGGGGGATGGGTTAGCCTGGTATTAAGGAGGGCACGTTCTGCATGGAGCACTGGGTGTTATACGCAAACAATGAATCATGGTACACTACATCAAAAACTAATGATGTAATGTATGGTGATTAACATAACATAATAAAAAAAGAAAGAAAAAAACACACACAATGACAAAAATGACTAATATAAACAAAAGGAAGGAAAAGGCAAGGAGACAACAAACAAACAAAAAGGTCAGAAAGCTTAAAGAACATTACAGAATAAAGACTAGTAACCTAATAAACTTAAATAAATGGGTGAATGAGTAAGTGGGTGGATGGGTAAATAAAGTCGCCTAGTAAATATTGTCAGAATGAGTAAAAAAATAAAAAAGAAAATTCTACATTTGAATGCTTTCTTTGCTGTAAGCAGTGTGACCTTCTATAAAGCAAATGTAATCAAGGTACTCTGCTGCAGAAAACCCTGTAACGTCCTTGGTCTTCAGGCTAGAGTCCATACACCTTAGCATCGTAGAAAGCCCTTCAAAACCTTGTCTGTCTCTAGCACAGTTGCCCTTCAACTAAACACTATTTATTTGAGCACCTAAAAAAAACCAGGTTCTCTCTCACATTTAGGTATTTCTCATACTATTCTGACTTTTCTCCCTCATTTGCGGAGTCTGGCTAATTAGGTCTCAGCTTAAATTATCTTCTACCAGCATGCCTTCCCTGACCTCCTTAGATCAGAAAGACACCAAATGCAGCATTATTATGCTTTTCAACTCTATTGCAAGTGTTTCCTTGGTTCCTTCCCCCTAGAAGGACTTCTTAAATAAGCTTAAAACACAATCAAAGGAGAAAAAAAAAATTGATGGATTTGATTACATCAAAATTAGAATTTCTATGCAACCAAAGACATCAAGAACAAAAACAGCATACATATGACAGAATGGGAGATGGTATATGAAATGTTTAGAATCAATATAACTTTGTTAAACAAGGTGTCTTAGAAATTACCAAGAAAAAAAACCCAGTAACTCCAATAAAAATATAGCCAATAAATTATAAACAGGTATTTTACAAGAAAGGAAATTTCAAAGACCATTAGTATATAAAGAAATGAAAATTTTAACAATCATTTAGAATGTCAAACAACCCATTAGGAATGGCAAACATTTTTTATCAGATAAAGGGCTAGTATCCAAAATCTATAAAGAACTTATCAAACTCAACATCCAAAAGCAATAAATCCAGTCAAGAAATGGGCAGAAGACATGACCAGACATCTCTTCAAAGAGGACATACAAATGGCCAACAGACACATGAAAAAATGCTTAACATCACTCATCATCAGGGAAATCCAAATCAAAACCACAACGAGATACCACCTCACACCAGTCAAAGTGGCTAAAATTAACAAGTCAGGAAACGACAGATGCTGGCGGGATGGGGAGAAAGGGGAACCCTCCTACACTGTTGGTGGGAATGCAAGCTGCTGCAGCCACCCTGGAAAACAGGATGGAGGTTCCTCAAAGAGTTGAAAATAGAGCTACCCTACAACCCAGCAATGGTACTACTGGTATTTATCCCAAAGATACAAATGTAGTGATCCCAAGGGGTATGTGCACCCCAATGTTTATAGCAGCAGTGTCCACAATAGCCAAACTATGGAAAGAGTCCAGATGTCCATCAACAGATGAATGGATAAAGAACATGTGGTGTATATATATATACAATGGAATATTATTCAGCCATCGAAAAAATGAAATCTTGCCATTTGCAACGACATGGACGGAACCAGAGGGTATTATGCTAAGTGAAGTAAGTCAATCAGAGAAAGACAATTATCATGCATTATCACTCATATGTGGAATTTAAGAAACAAAACAGAGGAGCATAGAGGAAGGCAGGGAAAAATAAAACAAGACAAAATTACAAAATTGAGAAGACAAACCAAAAGGGACTCTTAATCAGAAGAAACAAACTGGGGCACCTGGGTGGCTCAGTTGGTTAAGCGGCTGCCTTCGGCTCGGGTCATGATCCTGGGGTCCTGGGATCGAGCCCCGCATTGGGCTCCCTGCTCCGCAGGAAGCCTGCTTCTCCCTCTCCCTCTGCCTGCCTCTCTGCCTACTTGTTCTCTTTCTCTCTCTCTGTCAAATAGATAAATAAAATCTTTAAAAAAAAAAAAAAGAAGAAACAAACTGAGGGTCGCTGGAGGGGAAGTGGGTGGGGGGATGAGGTAACTGGGTGTTGGGCATTAAAGAGGGCATGTGATGTAATGAGCACTGGGTGTTATATACAACAGATGAATCACTCAACTCTCCCTTTTTTAAGATTTTATTTATTTATTTGACAGAAAGAGAGATAGCGAGAGCAAAAACACCAGCAGGGGGAGTGGGAGAGGGAGAAGCACGCTTCCCGGTGAGCAGGGAGCCCGATGAGGGACTCGATCCCAGGACCCTGGGATCATGACCTGAGGCGAAGGTAGATGCTTAACGACTAAGCCACCCAGGCGCCCCTGAACTCTACCTCTGATACTGACAATACACTATACGTTAATTATTTGAATGTAAATAAAATTAAATTAAAAAAAAAAAGGAAAGGCAAACATTTGAAAGCTGGATAATGCCAAGTGCTGGCAGGGATGTGGGGACATAGGAATCCTAGGCACTGTTGGTGGTCATGTAGACTGTGCATTCATTCTGGAGAAGGGGGCCACTGCATAGTCAAAACAGGTAAACACATAGTCTATACGCTAGGAATTCTCAGCCTATGTGTATATTCCAAATAAATTCTCACTCAAGTCCATAAATAAAAACACACGAGGATATTCATTGAAGCACCTTGCTGCACAAGTATTAAAAATAGTAAAAGTTAACAGTATAAGCCAATGTGAATAAACAAAACCATTTTTGCCTGTGCCCACCTGTAAAAAGACCATACAAGAAGGTTGATTCACCTTGTCAAAAATCAACATGAAGAGTTGGGGGAAAAAACTAGTGTCTATGAAAATGTCACCCTGGACAGAAATTTTAAGAGCTGGGAGAGACAACTATGTAGTTCACCTCCTTTATTTTATAAATAAAAAGCTGAGGTCTAAAGAGACTGAATAATTTGATCAAGATCACCCCTGTAGGTTTATAGTAGCAGGAGGTCTCCAGCTCAGGTCTCCACCCACTACTGCATGCTACCTTCCGTTTGTCATGGCTGAGAATACAGACTCCAACTGAAAACGTCTAGTTGTGACTCCAGGTTCTACCACTTTTATCCTCTTTGTAATCCTGCTCTAAGCTTTCTAAAACTAGCTTTTCTCATCAAATGAGGCCAATAATAGTACCTCCCTTAGGTGAGCTGTTGTAAGGAATTACTGAAAGCACTTAGCACTGTCTGGCACATGGAGAGTGCTCAATCCATTTTACCTATTATTCTGTTTTTGATAAAGGACGGAACAGTCCTTCTTATACTGAGAGCATAATTAATGAATGCTATATAGAAGAGTAGGCAATTTCACTGAAATGAGCCTATATATACAAGGGATACTCGAACATGGCTCACAACTCAAAGGACAGTGAGAGCAAATAAAAGATAACCATTTCCTGAAGGCAGAAAAATAAAAGATTACTGGTTTGTCCTTCAGTTTCCTTATTAATAATATGTTGCATATAATCAGCTATATAATACTGCCCTAGAGGTCAAGTGTCCATACTTCCTCTACCTTTATAAGAAATCAGCAAATTAGCAAAAGGAAAGCAATTTAAGAATTTCATTTTAAATATTAACCTTGAAAATTAGGCAGAAAACACCAACTCAGTTCTTGATTCAATACCAACTATTTCTGCATCAATGGATCCTCTATAACCATCATAACTGATACTCACAACAGTCATGAAGAAGTTAAATTCAGAACAAAATGGCCAAAAATTAGAATTCAGTACATTTTAGTCACATTTTCAATTGTAAACTCTAAACAGCTTTTTTGTCGTTGACACACGTTACATCAGTTTTATGTGCACAACACAGTGATTTGACAACTCTGTACAACTCTGTATGTTATGCTCTGTTCACAAGTGTAGCTACCGTCTGTCACCGCACAGCGCTACTACAACATCACTGACTATATTCTCTATGCTGTGCCTTTTATTCTCATGACTTGTTCATTCCTTACCTGGAAACCTGACCCTTAAAAGATTAAATCGTCTGGTATCCAGAAATCTAACGTGTATCAAGCTCCTTACCAAAGCAGATAAGCTGACACTTCACTATATATTGCTTTATATTCACTGAGTTTTACGATTCTATGATTTAATAATTTTCATTCATATGATTTTTAGTACACTTACATTTACTGGAATGATACTCTGAAAGCTGTTTCCCTTCATGATCAGTCCAAGGAGAGGGTACAATGACATCTTTTGTGAAAAACTAGAAAAATTAAAGTCATACAATTAGGTATAATTCCCCCCCAATACAAACAAGTACCCATGTTATTTTCAAATAATCATCAAACATGTTACATAGACTTTATAGTTAGTTACATTTAAAAATCTTAATACTTAAAAGCACAAATGACCAAAGGTAAAATAAAAAGAAATGTAAAGTATATATAAAGAGAAATGTTAATATTTCAACCACTAAAATTTAAAACTTGCAAATTAATCTAAGGGCATTAATCATAGAAATACTTTTAATTCCTCCCAATTTTTTTGGGGGGGGAGGGTGCAGATGACAAAAGGGAGGATGAAGAGGGAAGAAATAAATGGAAATAGATGTATACAAGGAAGCTCGTATGATTGCTGTGCTGGCCCAGGCTTATCCTGGCTCTCAAGACCTAATTATTAAATTTTCTGGAATTTTGTGCATCAGTTGTTAAAGCCAATGTTAAAAACTTGTCAACTTACAAATAAATATATAAAACAAAAAGGTAACAAAAGCCCCAACGCAGGACTCGCTAATTATTGGACGCTCCCCACAATCGGTGCTCCTGAGATTCATCATGTCTTCTGCATCAGCATGGTGGCACTCCCACACACACTGCTCTCCCGCTGCCCTTCTTTTACCATTCGGTAACGTCACAGCAGTAACTTGAAACTGGCCACGGCTGGAGTATTTACATTAGAGAAAGCAGCAGTCACTAAAAATCATCCTCCTCCCACAGCCAGAGGGCCAGCTGTTAAACATTTATAGTACACCACTGGCCAGTACACTCAAATGGAGATAAGAGCATTTGGATACAGGTCTTTCCTTTTTTCATCCCAGATATAAAATAAAGTCTAATACAGGATTTTTCCCTTCCCACTCTCTGTTTTGGGACGAATTCAAAACATTTAGTTTTCTTTCTTTCTTTTTTTTTTTAAGATTTTTCTTTTCTTAAGTAATCTCTACATCCAATGTGGGGCTCAAACTCAAAATTCCGAGTCTTACGTTGTAAGGACTGAAGCAGCCAGGCACCCCCAAAACATTTTTATATTCTGCTATACATATGGTAAAGAACAATTTCCTCGACATGAGGAAAGATGTAAAAAAAAAAAGAGGGGGAGGGGGCAGAAATTACGATAAGTACAATTTCCAGAAATATAAAGGACCCACCAACTAACGAAGCAATGTATTTAGTTCAATCAAAATGAAAAACATATAAATCCAAATTAACAAGATGAAATTTTTAAAGTGATAATACAAATTAAGAAGCTGAACAATAACCAGTATTGCAGACATGAGAAAACATCAAGTGTCATAACGTGGCCAGGAGTAAAAAAACTGCTATCACCTTTTGGGAGGGCGGCATGGCAAACTTTACCTAAACTGAAAACACAAAGCCTCTGACTTAGCAAGTATGTTGCAATTACACAAAGATACATGTACAAGTGTGTTCACTGAAGCATTATTTGTGATAGAAAAACACCAAACACAACCTAAATATCTATCAGTAGGGGCTGAGTTAGGTTATGACACATTCATAAAAAGAATACTATGCTGTTACTAAAAATCAGTATGCACTAATAATAAAAAATCTAAGAAACATTATTAAGCAAGATGCAAAACGAGAATGGTGATCCTATTTGTTAAAGGTCATTTGCTGTTATATACATAAAATTAATCTGAAAGTATAAATATCACATACTTATTTTTAGGAAGATGGGAAACAAGAAGCTCTTCATTTTCATTTTATAATTTTTCTTTGAAGTCCAAATTTTGTTTTGTTTTGACTATCTGCATGTATTTATTCTTTCAAAAATTTATACATTTGAAAATATTTGTTTCTGATATATTAACTTGTTTCTGATACGCTGACCCTAATTTTCACTCCGACCTCATCTTCTTAAATTTTCTGCTGAATTTCCCTTTAAAATTGAGGATTCTAAAGGGAAAGCATATTTTCTAAAATGTTGGGAAAGGGGAACCAGTCTGAGAATATTCAACTGTGGTGGAATCAAGTGATTGGATCAGAATGAGAATTCTGAAGTTACTACATAAAGAAGTATAATGTCTGGGAGGAGTAAAGCACATGCAACGGTTTTTGAAGAAATATGCTATATCTGAAACACAAGGAGACAATAACAACACTAGAAAAATAAGTGTAGGAGGGGCCAGAGCATCACTTAATCTCTACACACAGCATAGCTGAAGTCTTCTGGGGTGCAGAAGAGCCAAATATAGCTAAGGAATAGAGGTGGGTAGAGGGGGCTAGCAAGGGAAAAAGGAAAAAGAGATGTTGCCATGACATAAAGACTCTCTGGGAAATAACTAGATAGATAACCCCGGCTTGCACTCTAAGAGGAGATCATCAAACAAAGCAGCAAAAAGTGAAAAACTTAGTTTATTATTTTTATTTTAAAAAACCCCTACATTTGTAATATACTTTTTTTTATGTTTTAGTAAGGTATTTTATTTCAAAAATTCAAAGCATTAACAATAAACGATAAAACCATTGCCAATGCCAATCTAGATTTTCAAGGTCTGAAAATATTCAACTTTCTCTACATAAACTCCAAGTTGAAACAGAAGTTTGTACTCATCGGTATGCTGACGGCACAAGGAAGACAAACCGGCTAGGCCCTGAGAATGAAAAGATAAATGAAGTACAATATTGGCCAAGAAAAGAAGGTAGTCTAGGGGAGAGAAGCACTAAACCAGTCACTACAGTATCGTAAGAGCACTATGACAGGCCCTGGCATAGGTGAGCAATGCTGGTCTTACGGGAGCACAGAGGGGCCCAGACACAGCTGGGGACAGGCCAGGCTGGTGGCGATCTGCGACAGGAAAGGATGTGAAGGAAGTCATCCTAAACAGGGTGACGTGCATGCAGAATTGATGCTTAACTGGCTTTATGATCAGTAACAGTTTTAAGTTACCTCTTCAATGGCTTTTTGTCTTTTGTCTTCCACATCTTTATCTATTCTATACAGAGATAAAGAAGAAACATAACCATGCCATTACTTCAGCTGATTGAACATTTAAAATAATAAGCTTTCAAAGAAATAATTTCCTTCTGTTGAAAACTGGCAAATGTTAGGCTTATTTTAAGAGAAAAACTGATGTCTTATCACATTCAGTAAATGACAGCATTTAGGTATTTGGCATTGTGCTGGTAGGCTTACCTCCCTCTTTTCCATTCAGTTTGAATGGAATAGTATTTTCTGTTCAAGGGCTTACATTGATATAATTTTTAAATTACTATTAACAACATAAAGCAATTTGAATAAACATTGTCCTTTAACCACCATAAATTAAGAAGTATTTCATTCCACAGAAATCTAAAAATTGTCCAGATTCTCTTTCTTCTGTTATAGCAAGCTTATGATAGCTATAATTTTAGAATCAACTCTTACTCTGAAATAGAAGAAAAGAAACTATCATCCTTACAGTTCTGAACAAAGAAGCAAAAATATTAATTATGAAATAAAATAATGACAATATAGAATTCTGTCCAAATGATTTTTTTTTCACTTTGATACAATATGCAATTACAGCAAAACAAATTTATCAGCTACAAGATTTAACACAAAATGTCGGGTCTCGAGCACAAGGCATAGACTTGCCAGGACTAAGCAGTTAGCCTTGGAGGACCACTTTAATCTGTCCCAAGGAAGATTATTTACTTTCTGTTAATAAATTGGTAAAACACTTCTTTTTATAACAATTTAAATGATTGTCTCTCAAAATTTTTCACGTATATTATTTGTGGCTTTAACAAACCTTATATAAAAATGTACGTTTCACAAATTAAAATCAAGTGAATTTTTCAAGTAAGGGAATGATGAGAAAATAGACTACAATGATAATCCACATATCTCAGCTTCAACAACAGCCATTCTGGGGACAAATAACTCAGTTCTCTTTATCTTCTCATGCACATAAGCCAGGTCAAAATGACAGTGCATAATAATAACAGCAATATAGTATTTAGTAAGCTCTGATTTAATATCACCTCATTCAGAAACATTTTCTGCTTCATCAGAGGGACTTTAAGAACCTGAAATATTCAGGCAATTGCTAGAAGCAGTGAAAATCAGTTTAGGCAAATACTGTAGAACCTAATCATGGAAGGTTCTCAGAAGTCATACAGGACAGAGTATCCTGACAAAGAACACCAGCATGATGCAAATAGGTTACAGGAATATCCTGAATGGATCCTGAGTAGGGGAGGGCCTTTTCAGGACTGTTCACCTTCCATATGCACAGATTCATTTATTTACACCCATCTGCCTTACAATTATCATTTTTTATGTGGAGCAGTATGAAAGGGTGGGAAGCACTGAAATTGGGCCCTTGGATTAGATAGGAAGAGACACTGGAAGCCACTGTTTGTTTCTAAGAATGAGTCAGCATATTTTGTTGAGAATGTATTCATTATCCTTTGTAGAAGCTGTAATCATTTACTGAATTATATCAGTAAATTAAATTAAAATTAGGGTTTTCCCACTCTTTTCCCCTCTTTTGTATTATAAATCTACCTACTGAAATACACCAAGATTCTTTTCATAAACCTACCTAGAGGACATATCATTTATTAATAAGTATGGAAATGTGCCACAACTTTGGTTAATTGTACTGTTGGCTCTGCATATCATAAATAATAGTCTATGCTTCTTCAGTATTCCTGAAGGTGCTCAATAAATATCTCTTAACTGAAGATAACAGTTGTCTATGGTTGAATATACCAAGAGGCAAATAATAAAACACAGAGTTTGTGTGAAACAAAAAAATCAGTCTAATTTGTCACTCATTTGCTTTTAGATATTCTTTTCACCTTCTCTTCAAAGGTATTATTTATATTTCAGTTAAAATCCTCTTATGCTCTAACCCCATTCTATTCCCTTCCTAACACCTCTGGATGGACATTAATTGTCAGTGAATGGTCATCAAGTTACTAAGCCAAGAGAGGAAGGGGTTAAAAATCCAGACAAATATTTGTAAAAGCATCTCAACATGTGTACATTTTTGTGTGACTGAATTCTAAAGTTAAAGGGAAAACAATTATCCATTATTTTGGACTGACAACACATGTATCTTGGGACTGAAAACTAAAAGCTGATTACACCAGTAGTCAATTGTCTCAAATACTTAAAACATCAGACTATAAAACTGACATCAACAATAAGCCCCCAAACTATTACCAAACACCGTTATTTATAATTACAGATTACAGTACTATGTAATCAAAAGCTAGGTCTGTTCCACCTAAGAAGTGCATGTTCTCACTACATTGGACATCATCAAGCAGCCCACCAGTCTGAGGCACGTTAGTGCTCGAAACCTGCATAACACAGCAAAAAGTTAAGGCTGCTCTGATTACTAGATTTACTTCAGTACAATGTAATTTAGATCCCCTAAGGGTCTTGTATCAAAACTGGATAATGTCTAGAAAAGCTCTCTCTGTTGCTTATGGATACCCTTCCATTCAATGTGTTTTGGGATGTTAGGCTTCCCCAAACATAAACAGCAATGAAAGAGCATTTTGCTTTACCCAACACCACCAAAAAATAAAACAATATAAAAATTCAATGGGAGAAGCCACAATCATGTAGAAAGGTACAAATTTCAAAATGTTCTTCTCTCTACCAAGTGCTGGAAAGCACAGCTGTCCCATAAGAAGCAGAGGGAAGTATCTCTAAAAAAAAAAAAAAAAAGATTCCTACTTTAGGTTTACAACTGTTAGCAAGGGAATCTTCTTTCTGGATATAGTTCTTTGAACTCACTCTTCACTTAGCTACAATAAATCTGTTTCAGAATTTTTTCTCCCTGATATCTTTACCTATAAATATATTCAACCTTTGGAGCTTCCTATCTCTCTTCACTTAAGAACATGTTATTATACTTAAATACAAAAAAGGAAAACTTACCGAGAATGACTTAAGTATAAAGCTTGACGATGAATGTCTTCTGGGTCTATTTCTACAGGGTTTATTACAGCTAGTTGATCAATAGACCATCTAAATTTCCCTGGAGTCTTAACAAAAGAAAGTGAACCTATGAGTAAAAGCAAACTAAAATAGTTCATCAAAATTCTAACCAATGTCAGCTTCAAAATAATGTGAATGGTTATAATGCAAAAGTATTTCAAAGCTTGTATTTTAAAATTTGGCTTTACCACTAAATTAAATGGCAAATGGTAATCAAATCACACTAAGTCAACTGACTGGACTACATTTTAAAATATCCAAATCTTGGGCGCCTGGGTGGCTCAGTTGGTTGGGCGACTGCCTTCAGCTCGGGTCATGATCCTGGAGTCCCGGGATCGAGTCCTGCATCGGGCTCCCTGCTCGGCGGGGAGTCTGCTTCTCCCTCTGATCCTTCCCCCTCTCATGTGCTTTCTCTCTCTCTCAAATAAATAAATAAAATCTTTAAAATAAAATAAAATAAAATATCCAAATCTTCCATCTGGGTGATTTTTAAAATTGCATTAATAATGGAAAAAAAATCACAGTAGAGTAATAAAGGTATAGAAATTCCACAATTAATACTCATCAGTGATGCAACATACCCATGTAAAGGTAAAAATCTCTTACTAGATTTATCAAAGGTCTTTACTTTCACTAAGAATGAACTGAAATGAAATGAAGTCCTAACTACAAAAGTGCCTGCAAAAGCTCATAAAATAGTTGATCCTTAAAATAATTATGAATGGTAATCACTGCTGCTTTTCTGCATTCAACTATCCAACTGAACCAAAAATTTACCCAAATCCTAATCTATAATTCCGAATGCATTTTTGACAAAACCAGGCTTAAAAATCCAACATCCCACACATTCTGGTTTTGAGGATTAAGTTGCAGCTAATCTATTATTTATTCTAGATTAACAGAGAACTAAAATTTAATACAGTTCAATCAAAAATCATGAGGTCATATTTACAACTCAATATAAACTGCATTAACTGTAAAATTTTACTTGCTCGTAGTTTTAGCGGATATGAAATATAGCATAAATTGCAACGCACTTTGCAGTTTTTCTAGGTAATTTACTAGGTTAAAAGATCATACTTCAAAAGAACTCCAGTGTAGCAAATAAAAGTAAAAATAAGCTAAAGCGATAAAGTCTTCCCTAATCTCCAAAAGAGCACTTTCCTTTCCATATCACCCTTAATCACCTTAGCCACTAATACCACATATATTGTTTTGAAGTTGCTAGGTTAGTTATGAGTTTTCCTTTAGAGTAGATGTTGGCTTCTTTTTATACAATCTGCAAACTAAAAATGGTTGGAAAATTTTTAAAAATTATTATTTTATGACATGTGAAAATTACATGAAATTCAAATGTCCATGAAGAAAGCTTTATTGAAACACAGCCATGTTTCATTGTTTACATATTGCCTATGGCTGCTTTTGTGATACAAGGCAGAGGTGACTAGTTGTAACAGCAACAAGATGACCTGCAAAGCCTGAAATATTTACTGTCTGGCCCTTGACAGAAAAAGTTTGCTGACTCCTGCATTAGAATGCAAGCTCCTTGAGAGTTTGTGTCTAATGACCCTGACTTCTTCTCTATGCCTAGTACTTTATCTAACACAGCAGCATTCAAATAGATTTGCTGAATAAATGAGAATAATTAGATGATACAGTGTCTCCTCAAATACAGTATTAGTAAATATGTCATCAATCATAGTATCTAGCTACACCCAGTTGCAGGAAGCCAACACATTATCCACTGAAAGAAAAAAAAGAGAAATTTTAACTAAACAAAACAAAACAAAAAAAAACTACCTAACTTATTTTTAGCCCAATCACTACACTATAGTGAACATTACAACTAAAAAAGCACATTCCAGACATATTTGCTCCAGGATAAATTTCTCCCTTCTAAAAAAAGATGTTTACGTTTAAAATAATTTGTATATACTAGTCAAGAATAACTTACTGGTAATTTTGTTGATTTAAAAACAGAAGGACTGGAGAGAGTTTGTTCATGGAGATTAGAATAATCACCAGGGCTTTCGAAAGGATTCAAAACCGGGATCCTTCCTGGAGTTTCCGGTGGTATTTGCATTCTTGATTCTTTGACATCTCCCATAGCACAGAGAGAAAACTAAAAAGAAGTAAGTATGAAAAATGAAACCACAAAGTTCCACATTCATTTTGACAACTAAAATGTATTCAACAAACATATTTTGCAAAAAGAACTCAAAATCTAATGCTCTTGGGTCTTTTTTTTTTTTTTTTACAGTTTACAAAGAGGCATCACAT